GACCGTCCAATGTTCGGTACATCCTGTCATCTGCTAGTTGGAGAAGAGAGGACAATGTAAGCATCTGGAAAAAATAACCATTCACTTATAAAACAGAACACATCATGTTAACGTACTGAGGACACTTGATGCAGTCAAAAGCAAGTAAGGCTACTTTCACACTTGAGCGTATTGTAGCTTGAAGCTCGAAGCTCCAAAAAAGCTCAAACTTAAAAAATCAATTGTTCTTTATGGTGCCTGTTTGAGCAATCAGGTGTGAACAGGCACTATAGAGAACAATTGATTTTTTAAGTTTGAGCTTTCTTGGAGCTTTGAGCTTCAAGCTACAAAATGCTCAAGTGTGGATGCAGCCTAAAAGTGGACTAACCCTTTAATGGTAAAATGTAGAGTTTTTTTTTTCTTTTAATAATATACTGTTGCTGTATATTGTGACCTGCCAGGAATGAATTCATTCAGATTTTTCAAAAACGGAAAGATCCTCTTTAACATTTTGAATTCAAAATATGACTGGAATGTCTGTAGGGTTACATAAACTGATTACATTAACTGATTTTTCTGCAGATGGTGCCTGCATGTTTATAGGCTGTATGTCAATGAACAGCACCACTCTATGGACAGCTTTACAGAGCCCTTGTATGTGCATACCCTTGCCACATATTATTATTCCCAACATTGCAAGATGCTGCATTATTATCTTTTATAGTACTGGGGTAGTATTGGATGTCTCCAAATATAGTGTGGGACACAAATGCAAAAAGGAATGTGGTGGTTTAGCTCAAATAACTTTATCCATGGGAATATACCAATGAGCTATTGACAGGTCCTGACCTAGTATTTATTTCATTTATTTATTTGACTCTCTCACAGAAAGATCATTTTTACAATACCACCAAGAATGTGTAAAGCGGTTACAATTATCCTATGCTATCAACAGGAACTATAAATAACAGGAAAATCTTCATTGTATTGTTGTTTCTGTGATTTTATCACAAACTAGCCAATGTTCTATGGTATGTCAAGTTGGAAAGTGTCCTTTATTTTAGCAGATACATGGTGGTGAAAAATATACAGTAGATACTTTAGATTTTCTTAAACGCCTTCCATCTTAAAATGGACCTTCTTCTATGATCTCCCATTTCCTCACCCTCCGCCAGCACACAATTTGATAATGAAATATATATTTTTAAGGTTAAAAATACCTTTTCAGTGGGACCTGCATTTCCAGCTGTCATGCTTAGGCGAGAATAACTCACCACACCTGATGCCTACTGGGATACCAATGGCACACATCAAGAAAAGCATCTGGACAGACTCCACTGCACTGTGCATGTGTTGGCTGATCTCAACTGCACTGCGCATATGTTGTGATACGTCATTAGGGGCCAGCTGCAAGAAACCAGGAACAGTTGGCGCCCTCATGTCATCAGATGAGAAGATGGAGATGCAAGACCTGGAGTGCTGAGACACAGACAATGCTGCAATCACTGGGTATGTATGTTTTTTGTAGACAACCTAGCGGACAAGGTGGGGGAAGAATTGTGAAGAGGAGTGAAGTTCCTCTTTAAGGCACTGCAATTGGTACATTATTGATCCTCAGAAAGTTCCCTCCTGGTGATGTCATAATGAGGCAGGTGCTTATATAGTGCCGTCAATTTACACAGCACTTTACATGTATATTGTGTACATTCATATTAGCCCCTTCCCTCAAACAACTTACAAAGGTCTCTAACTCACATTCATACATACACATACAGTGCCAGGGCCAATATAGACAGGATCCAATTAACCTACCTGCGTGTCTTTTGGAGTCAGGGAGGAAACCTTAGTACCAGGAGGAAACCCACACAGGCACAGGCAGAACATGCAAATTCCAGGCTGAGTGTTGTGGTTGGGAATTGAACTAATGAGCCTAGTGCTCTTAGGAGGAATTTCTAACCCCTTAGCCTCTGTGCTGCCCAGTATTGTAATAAATATTTTAATTACCATCAGACTTTTATAGTGGACCTGAAGATAAATGCTTTGTTATAGGGAATATTTAGAAATGGTTATTCTTCCCAACTCAGTCTAACTAAGTTTGGAGTCACTACTGTACTGGTTACTGTTGTCCGTGCTGGAGTGAAGCTCCAGTGCCATCATCTCCCTGTCTTTGCAACATCCATTTGGAACATCTGAAACTCTCCTACTTTTGCTGCTTTATCATTCTTCCATAAATCATCAGATTACAAGTCATCAGGAACACAGATGTAATATGATGAGGAGGCAAAGCCCTGCTCCTTTATCAAGATGGCTGTCTTCACACAGAGACACAGTGCAAAGCAAGGCATGGTGAGTCAGTATTGGAAAAAGGATATTCTGCAGGGAGATCATAGAAATACCTAGTCTTTTCTCTTCTGAGTGTTTTATGGACAAGGAATCTACAGTTCAGGTATTCTCTAAATGTGTTAGAAAATTGTAATATAACACTCTGCAGTTACATTGGAATAACAGTCAGATCTTATCAGGTACTGAGCATGTGATACTAAATACCAGCCAGAACTGCAAAAAAGTGTGATTGTTTGCAGTTTAATAAGATAACATAAAGCTCAAGTTCATTAGTTTAGATCAGTGATGGCGAACCTTTAGAGACCAAGTGCCCAAACTGCAACCCAAAAACCCACTTATTTATTGCAAAGTGCCAACACTGCAATTAAACCTGAATATTAAGGTTTTAGTTTAGAAAAAAACAACTCATACATTAAGATCTTTTGTCTTAAAGGAAAAAACACAATAACAGAGCTTCCACTGAGCACCAGCACAAGGGGACAAAGTTCCACTGACCACCTGCACAAGGGAGCAAATTTCCACTGACCACCAGCACAAGGGGGCAAATTTCCACTGACCACCAGCACAAGCTAAAATCTTGTGTTAATAAAAATGAATGTATTAAAACTCACAGCCAGTCCAATATACAGCATCTCACAGAAGTGAGTATACCTCTCACATTTTTGTAAATATTTTATTATATCTTTTCATGTGACAACACTGAAGAAATTACACTTTGCTACAATGTAAGGAAGTGAGTGTACAGCTTGTATAACAGTGTCAGTTTGCTGTCCCCCTCAAAATAACTCAACACATCCATTAATGTCTAAACCGCTGGCAACAAAACTGAGTACACCCCTAAGTGAAAATGTCCAAATTGGGCCCAATTAGCCATTTTCTCTCCCCAGTATCATGGGACTCATTAGTGTTACAAGGTCTCACGTGTGAATGGGGAGAAAGTGTGTTAAATTTGGTGTTTTTGCTCTCACTCTCTCATATTGGTCACTGGAAGTTCAGTATGGCATCTCATGGCAAAGAACTCTCTGAGGATCTGAAAAAAAGAATTGTTGCTCTACATAAAGATGGTCTAGGCTTCAAGAAGATTGACAAGATCCTGAAAATAAGCTGCAGCATGGTGGCCAAGACCATACAGCGGTTTAACAGGACAGGATCCACTCAGAACAGGCCTCGCCATGGTCAACCAAAGAAGTTGAGTGCACGTGCTTAGCATCATATTCAGAGGTTGTCTTTGGGAAATAAATGTATGAGTACTGCCAGCATTGCTGCAGAGGTTGAAGGGGTGGAGGGTCAGCCCGTCAGTGCTAAGACCATACGCCGCACACTGCATCAAACTGGTCTGTATGGCTGTCGTCCCAGAAGGAAGCCTCTTCTAAAGAAGAAAGCCTGCAAACAGTTTGCTGAAGACAAGCAGACTAAGGACATGGATTACTGGAACCATGTCCTGTGGTCTGATGAGACCAAGACAAACTTATTTGGTTCAGATGGTGTCAAGCGTGTGTGGCGGCAACCAGGTGAGGAGTACAAAGACAAGTGTGTCTTGCCTACAGTCAAGCAATGGTGGTGGGAGTGTCATGGTTTGGGGCTGCATGAGTGCTGCCGGCACTGGGGAGCTACAGTTTATTGAGGGAACCATGAATGCCAACATGTACTATGACATACTGAAGCAGAGCATGATCCCCTCTCTTTGGAGACTGGGCCGCAGGGCAGTATTCCAACATAATAAGGACCCCAAACACACCTCCAAGACGACCACTGCCTTGCTAAAGAAGCTGAGGGTAAAGGTGATGGACTGGCCAAGCATGTCTCCTGACCTAAACCCTATTGAGCATCTGTGGGGCATCCTCAAATGGAAGGTCTCTAACATCCACCAGCTCCGTGATGTCCTCATGGAGGGGTAGAAGAGGACTCCAGTGGCAATCTGTGAAGCTCTGGTGAACTCCATGCCCAAGAGGGTTAAGGCAGTGCTGGAAAATAATGGTGGCCACACAAAATATTGTCACTGTGGGCCCAATTTGGACATTTTCACTTAGAGGTGTACTCACTTTTGTTTCCAGCGGTTTAGACATTAACCGCCTCCCACCCGTCATATAGTACAATGACGGGAGCAAGGTGATTCTCTCGTTCTGGGAGGAAATCATATGATGTCCTCCCATTCTAACCGCGCATGTGCGGCTCCGGGAGAGTGCAGCGTGGCGGTTGGCGGTGCGCTGTGTCCCTCGGAAACAGCGGATCACCGATCAATGGAAAGAGCCGAAGATGTCGGCTTGATCATGTGATCAGCTGTGTCCAATCACAGCTGATCACATGAAAACAGGGAAATGCCAGTTATCAGCATTTCTTTCTTCACGAGCTGTCACGCTGAGAGCTCGAGAGGAGAGACGGTAATCGGCATTCCTTGGAGGTGGCATGTACACAGATCATCAGAGCACTGATGATCAGTGTGCCCTGATGATCTGTGAAGCCCCAGCAGTGCCACCTGTCAGTGTCCATCAGTGCCAGCTGTCAGTGCTCATCCCTGCCACCTGCCAGTGCCCATCAGGGTCACATCAGTGCCACATTTCAGTGCCTACTGGTGCACATCAATGCCACATATCAGTGCCCATCTGAGCTGCCTTTCAGTGTCACCCATCAGTGCCGGTCAGTGCCACCTATCAATGCCGGTCAGTGCCGCCTATCAGTGCTGCCAATCAGTGCCACCTATCAGTGCCAGTCAGTGCCGTGCCGCCTATCAGTGCCAATCAGTGCCTCCTATCAGTGCCAATCAGTGCCGCATATCAGTGCCCGGCAGTGCTGCCTATCAGTGCTGACTAACAGTGCCAGTCAGTGCCACCTAACAGTGCCAGTCAGTGCCACCTAACAGTGCCAGTCAGAGTCTCCTATCAGTGCCACCTATCAGTGCCATATATGAGTGCTGCCTTTCAGTGCCCATCAGTGATGCCTGTCAATGCCCATCAGTGCCACCTATCAGTGCCTCCTCATCAGTGCCCATCAGTGCCACCTATCAGTGTCCATCAGTGCAGCCTATCAGTGCTCATCACTACAGCCTCATTAGCGCACATTAGTGAAGGAGAAAAATCACTTATTTACAAACTTTTATAACAAAACCTAAGAAAAAATGTTTTTTTTTCCAAAATTTTCAGTGGTTTTTGGTTTGTTTAAGAAAAAATAAAAAAACCCCAGAGGTTATTAAATACCACCAAAATAAAGCTCTATCTGTCACAAAAAAATGATAAAAATGTCATATGGGTACAGTGTTGCATGACCGTGCAATTGTCATTCAAAGTGTGACAGCGCTGAAAGCTGGAAATTGGCCTGGGCAGGAAGGGGGTATAAGTGTCCTGTAGGCTAGTGGTTAATGACTGTGTGTTGAATTATTTTGTGAGGACAACAAATTTACACTGTTATACAAGCTGTACACTCACTACTTTACATTGTAGCAAAGTGCCATTTCTTCAGTGTTGTCACATGAAAAGATAGAATCAAATATTTACAAAAATGCGAGGGGTGTACTCACTTCTGTAAGATTCTGTATATATCTTTGGCAGTGCACTGACCAACCATGAGAATGCTTGGAATGACTCATGGCTAATGAATCACGGCTCGAGGCGGCATCACCTGGCGCTGCTACTCCTTTTTTCAATCATGTGCATGGCCCCTATGTGCTCTGTTATCCAATGCTCAGCTGCTGGGGCAAGGCTGGGATGACTTGGCTTGTGTGCTGACAGAGAGGGGTTGTGCGTGCCCGCTGCGGAGCGAGTGCCATAGATTCACCACCACTGGTTTAGATTAACTGGTTTCAAAGTGGTGACTTAGGAATTCCTTTGTACAATGCATGTCTCTAATTGGTCACTTAAGATGTTTACATTTCTTTTTATATAATAAAGTAAGTAATATCCAAGGACTAGAATAATCCCTTTCTGTGATCCTCATACATTAGGATGGCATCATTTTGTGATAATTAATAGCAAATATAAATAATTTTTTTCCCATTAGTATAGGTTGTAAATGTACCAGGCAGATTATTGTGTTTAGCCTACACATTGGTCAGTACAACGCTGCACTGCTTACCTGCAGACGTGTTAGAATGCGCTAGCAAATTTAATCCTTGGTGTTTGATAGGAAAGTAAATAAAATTGGCACCACCCTGCTTGACTTTTTCTGTGGAAAATTGTTGGCTGAACAGCTCCTGCAGCCACTCGGATGCAGGCACTGTTTGGGTATCCTAACAGCTGGTGCTGGCTGACAGAATTCAATAGCCACCCCTGCAAATTTATACATCCAAGTTGTTTAGTGTGGGTAGGGGAACAGAGGGATTTCTTTTGTTCAGCCAGCAGTGCTGTTAAAGGGTCTAATGACCATTCTCCAAAGTATTTCTTCTTATGGATGGAATTTGCTATCAGGCTCTATGAGCAAATTTTAAGAATAGGAAGAATTTTGAAAATATTAAAGTGTAACATTTGAAACATTTATGGAAGATAAATGGCTGCTAAGGGTTTTTTGACATGCATCGCGTTTCAGGGCAGTCCCTATGCATGTGAAATGCACAAACATAGCGCAGGCACAGGTTTTAAAAGCGCACTGCACCAAAATCCATTGTACTGTGTGATGCATGCATTGGTGTGTTTGCCAAAAGCGTGGAGGCGTCATTAAGAATCAATGACACTCAAATGAATCTGCAAAAGGCAGCACGTTTTATGCAGTGTGGGAAAACGCATTATTCTGCATGCATTTCCACAGCACATCTGGTGTGACCAACCCCTAAACATTTTACAACCACCCCATTAAAACATTTATTATGCAAATGTTTATCTTTCCAAATTTTGTTAAATAAATAAATAACTAAGTTCCAAATAAACAAGATGTCCCTTTTTATTGATATTTAGAACAGCCCGTAGTTTAGTCTTTGGTCACACTGAATCTGACTTTGAAATTGTGCAACTTCACTTGAATTCGGATGTCAGTGCGAATTCAGATGCGACTTGAAAGACATCGGTGCGACTTCATGCATAGATGTCTATGCAAGTCACACCTGAACTTGCAAAAGTACTGCATGAACTTTCAAAATGAAAATTTGACCACTTCCATTGCGGACAATAGGGTGCAATTTATGTGATTTTAAACAATCAAATATCATGACAATTTGCATTGGTGTGACCGGGGACTTAAATTATGCAATGGCAACTAGCTCTACCATTAATTTGTATATACTACATATACATCACTGAAATATAAAGACCTGGCCTGAATTGAGAATTTTTCAAAAATCAAAACACCTGCAGAATGTGATTAAACTCTTGAAAACTAAACCTTAGGGCTCGTTCACACTTGGCTGTTTTGCCAACGCTTGCCAAACGCCCCTATAGCGTTTGGCAAGCGTTGGTCCGGTGTTTGCGGAGCATTTTTAACGCTCGGCAAATGCTCCGCAAACGCCGCATGCGCGGTTTAGCGGCAGTTGCTAGGCGTTTGCCGAGCGTTAATAACGCCCCACAAACGCCTATAATGCATTTGAGTGGTGTTACCGCTCCGCAAACGCCCCGCAACCGCGTCGCAACCGCACCGCAAACGCCGGCCGGGCGTTTGCGGAGCGGCACCATAGACGAGAATAGGAGGCTTCAAAGCCTCCTGACTCGACCAGAGGCGTCCGTTTTGCTGCGACGCAACGCGACGCGACGCGACGCAAACGCTCCTGTTAGAACAGCACCATGTGCTGTAATGTGCAGAATTGGCAGAGGCGTTTGGGAAGCGGTAAAAACGCTTCCCAAACGCCTCTCTGCCGCCTGCACACAAGGCTAGTGTGAACGTAGCCTTACTGCCTGGCTTGGAATTAGTATACTGTATGTTCACAGGTATAGCTGGCAATTGAGTGGTTGCTTACATGAAAGCCCGATTAGTATTGCACATTGTGACAGAGTCCTTTAAAGGATAAGCTAACACAGTCCCAATATTATTAAAGTCAGCATTAAAAAGGAAAAAAAAAAAAAGAAAGATTTGTATATTTCAATCCTTTATTTCCCCTTAATAAACAAAGAGGGAAAGCATTACAGCTGAAGAACGTAGAGGAAAACGAATTTACTTGCTAACGGTAAGAGGAATGCAGTAAATTTGCAATCATCATTTTGCCAGAAAGTAAAGTATTACATTAACAGAGCACAATAACAAAACCAAACAATAACAAAAAAGAGCATTGTGTTTAGCCATCTGTTCGGCTGCAACCTAATGCCCTAAACTTACTATACTAGTGATCATGATTATTTACAGAGCAATTGATGTTAAAGAAGAAATAGAAACTTGTTTTAGCTGTAAGAGTTTTTTTTTTACTCTGCTCATGTTGTTTTTTGCTTTTGACAGAACAGGACAAAACATGTGTTTCTCATTGTATTTGCCAGTATTACATTAACTCTAAATGCAAAACTCTTTTTTTACTTTTTTTTTTATGTGTTAACCTGAACAAATTAAACGTAGTTGTACAACAAGGATACATCGGATTTATATAGTGGACAGATAAATATAACATAAATATGCAATAAAGGATATAACAGTATCTTTAATGTAAGAACAGCAAAATGTGGAATATTCTAAACAATGGTATTTGCAGTTTGGATATGTATCTTTAAAAGTCTTGGCATGCTCTGTGAGAAATGGGACAATTCAATCAAGATGCATGAAACTGAAGATCAGTTTTGGATGAAATGATTGAAATGCAGCACACAATGCTTTTGTTTTCATGCTTTGAAGTGTGAACTATTCATTCTTTGATCCATAATAGATTTCAATTGTCTTTTTGGGGTCAGGACATTTTATAAAGGAATTCTCCACCTTTGTATTCTGTTGTCCATAATTTTCCTAATATGACTTATGTGTTGTGTCATGGGGTTATATTAGTAAATTCCATACTTCAAAAATCAAAACAGGCCATGTTTGCAAGATTTCAAGGAACATGCACAGCTATGTTGATCGACATCAGCATTATATGTTGAGAGATATGGATAACATGGCCTTTAACTGGTTCATGGGGACTGGTTTACCAATTTTGGGTGCCAGACAGTACTGGACTGGTGCTGCTGGAGGATGCCTGATGGCAGGTCTCTATGTGAATGGTATAGAGGTAATCACTTACAATGGCTTGTGCCCCAATTGTAGGTGGAAGATGATAGACTTCGTTGGGGTCTAGGGCTGCTACCTTTCTGATAACGATAATGGGGCTGCTACTGCAGGGAACACTTGGGTGATTGAAGGGGAGTGCCCGGCGTGCAGAAAATTGTCTCACTCGATGATTCATTACCATTGTTTATTCTGAATGGCACCCCAACCCACAACTGCAGTAGCAAGCAACACACCCACACTGCAGTTCACTACTATGCAAATTGTTTTGGTGCACTGAATTAAAAGAGGGTCATGTCCTGTCCTTTCTTACTTTTCTCCCACTGTGCAAAGGATACCTGTTTTTTGCATTTGATATTCCAACCACATTCATTGGCTTATGATTTCTAGCTGTATCGTATGTTTATCTGGTCCTGTCTAGATGACCTTAGCTACACATTCAATGCTTTGATGGGCTGATTTACTAAAACTGTGGAGTGCAAAATCTGGTGCAGCTCTGCATAGAAACCAATCAGCTACCAGGTTTTTTTTGTCAAAGCATAAATGAACAAGCTGAAGTTAGAAGCTGATTTGCTACCATACACAGCTGCACCAGATTTTGCACTCTCCAGTTCTAGTAAATCAACCCCTATGCGTCCCATTTCATCTGATTGTTCCATGTGAACTTTAAAAACCTGGATAAAATCTTTTTGAACTGAAAAAAAGGTCTTGTCCGTTGTCTGGACTTCCCCTCATATATACTCTCATCCCACTCCAAAGCTCCCAATAGCAGTATTTTATGCTACATTTTTTTATATTTACCTTCTTCCAAGGACTTATGGCCAGTCACTTAACATCCTGGGACCTCTTTTGATCTTCTTCTGGTCGTGGGAATTCCTTAAAGTGGAGTTCCACTTAACCTATCAAAAAATAAAAAGTCAGCAGCTACAAAAACTGTAGCTGCTGACTTTTAAAAAACAGCCACTTACCTGTCTCTCGGTCCTGTGGTGTGTCCACCG